AAGAACATTTATTTTTTCACTCTACGTAAAAATCTCTAAATTACTAATCATTTTCAACATTTTGCAAGTTAATCAATTTGTTAATTAACTCAGCGACTTATTTAATTTTAATTTACAAAAACTTGTCACACATTTTCAATACAAATATTACATTCTTCAATTTCATTTTTTCAATATAAGTTTTTTCTATTTCATTTTTAGCGTATTACAATTAGATCAAAAAAAAGGAAGAAAAAAAAAATCATTGAAATAAAATTCCACTGAAAATTCCACTCCTAGCTTTTTATTATTAAAACACTGCGACTGGATGTGATTAAATTCGTCCCTCGAAGAAGAATTTCGAATAATTCACCGGAAGGCAGAGGTCGGGGACGTTCTCTCGAGGGCTTTACGCGTGCAGAAATCCCAATAACGGATCGACACGAGATAGGTGCGTCGTCTAGGCGCCGTCTATCCCAAGGATCCCCAAGGCTGTTGTCCATATTCTCCTGTCTTTACAAACTTTGGTTTTTTACACCTTTCTTTCTTTCTTTCTTTCTTTCTTTCTTTTTTTCTTTTTTTTTTCCTTACATCTTCAAATTTCCCGCTCGTTCGTTACAATTCCCCATTTCCTTTTTTTACCGTTTTTTTACCGTCTCTTTTTTTTTTTTTACCGTCTCTTTTCGTTTATTGACTTTCAAACGATACGTATCAGTTTGAAGTTTGTTGCAAATTGAAACACGAATTTCTAAAAATTAGGTTAAATAAATACGATCGTTCATTTAATTCTAAATTTTCTAAATTTTTACATTAAAAATTCTGTTTTTATTTTTCATATTTCCATCCATTTCCTTTTTTGTTTCTTTTCAACGAAACAATTCTTCACATAAAAAAAAAATTGGAAAGAAATATATTTTTGTCACGAATTAAAGGATAAATTTTTTTTCGACAGAGAGAGAGAGAGAGAGAGAGAGAGAGATTAACTCTTAAAAAAGGAGCATCAATTTTATCGCGATGGATGTCAATTTTGCCACGAAATGCCAATCTCTCACGTGTGTGTGACAGCGAGTGGGGTGTTATTGACAGGGGTGCGATCGATGTAATATACAAAGCCAGCTGGTTAGTTACCTCGGTGAAGGGGTTGTTCGGTTTACCTTTGTTACAAATCGGTGTTTATTGGGAAGTCAAACTACCAATGCATTTGGTCACGTTGATCGTATATGCTCCCTATTATTTCATGCACGTGTTGTTCCAATATTTATCCAATTCCGTCTGGTAGATAATTATACAGATCAGATTGCAATATTGAAGAAATTGGATTCATTGGAAAAAATTATTGGATTTAATTTACATTTTTTTTGTATTTTTTGTAGGAAATAAATAAATCGATATTACATCCATCAAATGTCGAAAAGTATCTTGACCAACCAGTAAAATTATATTACTGAGAGGGAATATTAATTTTTTAAATATTTATATAAATTGGTTTCCTAAAAATTTGTCGTTGAAAATTCTATTTTAAATTTAATATTTTTTTAAGAATATATATTTATACGTGATTTTATTTCAACGATTAAATTAATTGCGATTATTTATTAAAAAATGTTACGTTGGATACTCAGTAAATTTTTATGTATAAAACAGAATATATCCAAAAAAATATCATCTTTAATCATTCATTCTTAACAAATATATAGAAAAGATTGCCTGATTTTGTTATATTTATTTGCATATTATTTATATACAAAATTTTACAACGAAAAATTTCCACTAATTTATATATTTCGAGAATGAAGAACACTAAAAAAATATTAAAGATTCATGCTGACAATTTATATTAATAAATAATTAAATAAATAATAAAATAAAATAATAATTATATATAAAAAAATATTATATATATAAAATTATATATATAAAAAAAATTAAATAATAAAATATTACATTATCCTTAAAATTTTTGTATAATTTCTCTCGAGAAACCTCAGATTATTTCAAATCCATCTATGCACGTTTTTCTTCTCGCGATTAAACACACACATTGATGTAACTATACCTGCTCTACTGATCAATGCATTCGATCGATTGCCAGAAACGAAGATCGAATAAATTCTAATAAATCAAATTGTATAAAGCGTCTATTTTGTCCGAATATATTTTAAGGAAAAACTATTACAAGGAAAAAAAAATTCTTAAAAATATATATTATAAATATTACACGTCGTAGAATCTTCTTATTTTTCACATAATAGATTTTATGAATTTCCTGTAACGAATGATGCATTAAAAATTATAATTAATCGTAGAAAAATTATTAATACTGCACAATGCATCTTCTTAAACCGAAAAATAAAAAAACTTTTACAAAAATATACAATTTTCGTAAAGTTCCTTCCTTTGGAAAAGAAATTTCGGATAAAACAGAAGCATTCTGTGTATAACACGAAACGAAGATCGTGGAGGACGACCGGGTTGAATAGTAGCCGGATTATTCCCTTTTGGTTGGCTTTGCGGACAAGACAAGATGGCGCCGTTGGAGGTATTTTCGACGGCAATAACAATGTGGTTGATTGGACAGGAAAGAGTTCGCGAGTCCTTCGCCGATGAATGTCCTCGTTATCGACCGCCATTACGGTGGAAAAGGAAAACGGTGCGAAGAGAACGCGAGGCGGATGCAAATGCCGAAAAATCAGCAACCGCGGACGTTGTCGGCCGATTTTTCCTGTTTTTTGTCTTCGAGCCTTTGAAACCGAGGAAACTTGTATCATTTTGGGCGTTAAATCGCTTTATTCCCCCCTCGAAGGAATATTTTTTTTACTTCCGTTATGCAGAGTAGGGAACTCGTCGAATGAAACAGAATATAAAAAGTATTTACATATTTTTATTAAATGATATATACTTGGACTTATATGATTAATTGGTATTTAAATGTTAAAAATTTTGAATGATATTTTCGAAAATTATGGATCGAAAACGACGAAATTTAATTTGATAAAATTACAAAATAAGAAAAAAAAATGGTAATCCATTCACTTTTTTCACTTGTGAGTTGTTAAATTGTTGTCGTTGCACGTTTTCGAGGATTTTCTACGAATTCTGGTTACGAGGAGTTTCGGCAATTTCGTGAAAACGACCGCCGCTCGACGCGCCCTCTCCATGCAAATTCGGTAATTATGCCACGGAGGGATACGTTTATGAACTGTGCGGTTACCGTTGCGGGGTATTGCTCCGCAATTAGTATGTCAGAAACGCGGCACGGGATGAAACGAGACACCTAAACTCCACACATTGGTTTATCGAGCGAATATGACGAAGTTTGCGTGTCTAGATTCGACCATGATGGGTTACTTCGTCTGGAACATTGGGCGGGCATAGTTTGTGATATTTTTGAGGTTAGGTTTCGCGGTCGATTCTTGCGGATTCGAGTTTCTCAAAGGTTTCCCGAAAGTGATCCTCAACTTTGATCAAAATTGATATAGTTAAAGTAAAGTTATAGAGTTACAGAGTTAATAATTAAATATAATAACTCGAAACATAAATAATTAAATATGATAAGTTTATCGTTGTATTGGATGGAAATATTTTTCACGTCACAATTTCAAAAAAAATTTCTAATTTTTTAACTAATTTAACAGATATAAAAATATCTCATCTCGATTAGAATGATCCATGAAAATTCGATTAAAAAATTTCCAAGAAAATTTCACAGTTCGAATAAAACGGTCAATTCTGTAAAAAAAAAAAAAAAAAAAGAATATTCGTTTGTAATTGAAACTCGAGCAGGGATTCAGGAGAAAGTAATGATTATGTAACAAATCTACTAAAGCCGAGAGTGAAATTACAAATTGAAGAGAAATCGGTTACCCGGAGGGACGATCACGTCCAAGATGGTTTTAGAAGGTGCAGGATGGGAAGAAAACAAATTCTTCTGTTCGACCTTCTGGTCACGTTACTTCTCAACAGGCAATGCCTATTTCGCGTCCGATAGGATGCGGGATTATTCCAACTCTCTGGGAAGGAGAAGAGAGGAAATTTTAAGAACTTTCGTCGCGCCAAGCGTTGATCTATTTCACTGCGCGCTTTCTGTAAGTGAAGAAATAGTTATTTTTTAAGGCGAATAATAAAATTCGTGATTTACGATTAAATATATTATCATCTTTTTTTATTTTTCAAATTTAAATTTATTTTACGTAAAAATTTGATCTAAATGAAATTTATTTTACAATTAATTATTCTTATTTATTGTTTTAAATTTAAACTCATTTTATGATAAAAAATATTTTACATCAAGTTGCAATTTTGATGTAAAATAAAGATAAATGTAAATTTATTCTAGGTATTAATTTCATTTAAATAAAAATTGATTTTAATTTTTAAACGTGTATGCACAAATTGTGTATAACCTAAATCTGTGCAAACAAAATTGCAGAATAATAAGGTATTATTGTAAAATAATATAATAAAATAATTTTTTATTATATTGCATTAATATTTCATTACTTTTTCTTATTTAAATTATAAAACTTGGCCAAATCTGAATAATAAATGTTGAATAAATATTATTTGTACTTTTAATAATTTATAACAAGATATTTATATTTTTGCATTAAAAAATTAATCAAATATTTTTGCTTATGAAAAAAAATGTAATTGACAATTTTATTTAATGAACATTTTTTTGTTAAATTTTTTAAATCAAATAATCATCTTGTTTGGATTTATTTCTTATCCTATATAAATATATATGATTTTTGACAAAATATCCAGTTTCATTCGAGAGGAAACAATTTCATATAAATAGTTTATTACTTTTCGAATTAATGCATTATATATTATTAAATACAAGATGATTTAAATCATTTCATTTAAATATTTCTGTTAAATATTGGAAATACCAACGAATCAATATTTTAAATAAAATTTAAATTTATATTATAGTGACGTGATGCTTATATATACTTACATACTTTTTTTTTATAATAATAAATTAACGAAAAATGAAAAAAACAACACACTTGAGATTGCGTTAGATATTCGTATTTATAAAGAATCATTACGTATATTACATAGTTAAATGTTAAATATATGTTACAGCGAGCTAAGAATCTCTGAAATCCTTTTTCATTACTTCGACCATATATTTTTACACGTTCTTTTTTTTCAATAAGTAGAAAAATATCGATCTTATCCTTGTTTAAAATATCAATCAGAACAAGAAATTAAATATTCCATCTGGGATAATGGTCGACCAAACTGCCTTCCTTAATTAAAATTTTTCTGTTCCTCAATTTTCTATATATATATATATATATTATAAAAATTTTACGTATTGAAATATTCATTTTTCATATATTGAAATGTTCGAAGTTATACACTTTTTTTATGTATGTAATATACGTTTTCTAGGGATTTATAGTGATTTTAATTAAAATGTTTTATAGTATTTTTCCATTTTTCAATTTTTCATATACTGGAAAATTTTGAAATATTGAAATATTTATTTTTCAATCTTCTGTATTGAAACATTTGAAATTCTATTAAATTTCAAAATTCAAAAAAGATTAAAAAGTTCTGTGCATGCTTTTTAGAAAATCTATAGTCTTTAATTAAAATATTCTATTTAATATTTTTCCATATATCGGACAATTTTATATTGAAATGTCTTCAAAATTGATGTGTCAAATTGAAATTTTTTTAATTTGAACTTCTATGCTTCTTTTCAAATAAAGTTAAAATACTTCTACGTGCTTTTGTAGACTCAAAATCTGCGCATTTCTTACCCAACAATAATGTTACAAAGAAAAAAGATAAAATCTCCTTTTAACTAAGGAAACGGCAGTAAAGTATCCTGACACTATCCTTGCACAATTTACTATACACGTTCCATTATACTTTCTTTCTTTCGTGCAAATATATATGTATACACACGAAGTGCAAAGAAAATTCACAAATATTGCTAGTAAAATAAATCCTTCTTCCAAAATAATTCTAAAATACACCTTTCAAAAATATACAAACTTTCGGAACAATTTTTGACACGATCCGCAATAATAATACTCGTCAAATGTCGTTTCCTCTTACAGAGATAAATACGTACTACTACAGCTACAGCTAATTAAGAGCCTATCTATTATATCACATGTGAGAAAGCTGCGGTAATATAGCTCGACGACTACGTACAAGAGGGAAAAAGACAAAATACGTACAGTTAATAACTCTACATTCGTTAAACGCAAAAAGCGAACATGCTTAATAGCACGTGCGTCTATGACGTGAACATATGTCGCGTTTTTTTCTCTCTCTCATTCGCGCATACTCTATGTATCTTTCACTCTCCCTCTCTCTCTTACACCTATATTTTTACACGCTACCGACTCGGCACCGAAATTGGCAACCGGCCAATACTAAACGATCAGTTACTCTCTGTTGAATATTGGCTCCCTCCCGGAATTGTATCAAGCTCTGTAAAGCAGAACGATTCCTGTTTCGTTTGGTCCTTCTATCGAGGGCATGGAACGATTTAATGGATCTTGTTATTGCTTATTTAGCCGGTCAAACCGATTTATCCGAGATATAATACACGAAAGTTGATTCAAGATGTTATTGTGTCGAATATTCTTATATACATTTTTTCTTTTTACGTTATTATTGTAAACATGTGTATCTTATTTTGGAATAAGAAAATTACTTTTCTTGTATATAAATAAACAATTAAAATTAATTCTTTTTTGCCAGATAGTAAAACGCTTGAAAATTACAGAATATTAAATTTTAACACACGATGAGAACTGATGTCGATGTATTAAAATTTTAGCAAATGTACGTACAAGATGGTATTGAAATATAATTCGTCAGGAAATGAGCTTTCATCAGAGCTGAAAAAATTCCGGGCAAATACTGCACGCTATATTTTATAATTAAAATTCATTGAATATTTTAACAAAGCATTTCACAATTGCTCGAGTTTTTTTTTTTTTGTTTTACTTTTTCTCGAAGTTTTTATTTCCACGCTTCGATGTATATTTCGAAACTCTCGCGAAATATTTTATATTCTGAAGAGCGATCGAAACGACTTCTAGAAAAAAGAAAAAAAAAAAAATTTTAAAATGTTCGCCAAATTTCTGATCCATCGATTTCATAAGGAGAACAATGCAACGATGATTTCGAAATCATTGTTGGCGCAATCGTTCGCTTTGTTATATTTAAAAAGGCTCGTGTCGTGCAACGACGATCTGATAGAAGCGGAATAGAAAAATAGCGGATCTATCGTATTATAAACGTCTTTACGTTCTAAGAATACGAAGAACACAAGCGGCGCTCTTCTTCCAACGTGTCATAGGTTATTTTTGTTATTTAAAAATATTGATGAGGGCACTCGGTAGATCGAATTACTTTTCTTCTCGAACGAAGTTGCAAGTTTAATAAAAATTTGATCGAAAATTTATGATAATAATAATTCTTTATGTTATAACTTGTTGGAAAACGAAATTACGTTTCCATTTTCCTTATTTGTATGTATTATTCCTTCATAACGATTTTATTATCAAAATATCATAGAGCTAATGGATTAAATTTTTCATCTATATATAATATAACAATTATTTACTAATAATTGATGGTTACTTTTTAATAAAAAAATTTTTTTACGAAATTGCTCTTAAAATTTTGAAAATCACTCTTTCATCGAATTCCACTTGTTGATATTGTTCGTCAATAATTAATAACTATTTAATCGAAAAATTTTTTAAATTCCAAATTTTGATGGTTGAATTTTTCGACCCATTCGCAGAAATGCTCCTCACCAAAATATACTAAAAATATCTATGGAATCTACCAATCTACATTTTCTCGTTTCCTTTCAATAACGGTCGTCCTCGTCCTCGGTTTCCCTGTAGAATTTCTCCACCTGTGCCCTAGCAGCTTGAGAGACGCTATCTCTGCAAGGATTAGAATCCCAATTGACACCTGGACAGCCCAAGGACTCGAAACATGTGACCAGACGTTGATTCGATGGACAACATTGGATAACAGCCCAGACGCAGGGCGGGGGACTTTGTACAGGTGGTCGTCGAGTGGGTGGGGCTGGGAAGTTGGGGAATTGTACTCCACCTTGATATGGATTAGCTCCCTGCAAAGAAACAGAAGTTAGTAGCAAGTGGATATCTTTGTATATTTTGAGGATGAAGTGAGTTTTATTTTTGTGCATTAAAAATAGCGTAAGTTTATTTGTTGATTAGGTAGACAATTTTAGGATATTCAGTATTAGAATAAACGAGTAAAATTTTTATTTATGACTTCTGTTTAAAAAATAGAAGGAAAAAGTCTAAATATATCAACTCTAAGATTAGAAGTATCAAAAATTACTTTATTTCTGTATTCTGTGTTAATATTGGACGAGTAAATCTGTTTTAAAAAGAATCCAAATATATGTGAAGAAAATACTCTATAAATAATTATTATGTTATATTAATATGTAATTTGTGGAACTGTAATAATTAACGTACTAGCTTACATTGACATAATTATTTCCAACTTCATAATTCATGATAAATATTATCCTTAAACTTGAGATTAACTGTCCCATTAAAATAATTTTCTATAGAACGTAGCAGGAAAAAGTAATATTTATGATAATTTCTCTCGTAAATCGTTTTTATTTTTTTATTTTATCTCTACTACATTTCATAATGTAATCTAAAAAAGAATAACGAACAACTGTAATATTCAGAAACTTTAACTTTTTTTTATTTTAAACTTTCCCATAGGAATTATCTTCTTCGATGAAATTTATATATCTTAAAAAAAAAAAAAAAAAAAAAAAAAGAAATAATCTTTTCATTCTAAAGATTTCTAAATTCTTTGCTGTAAAATATATTAACGATACATATATATTCATTCCATGCAACATAGTAGTTATTCTCACCCCCTTAATTTATGATTAACACATAATTTATAATGTCTCTCTATCTACTCCTTTTACGAGTTGTAATAATTCAGATCACGAACATATGCTAGTAAGTTATTATACGTTGCTTGCACGTATCCGGTGCGCAATTATTTCAGCTTTAATGATCACGTGTTTCCATTACCAATCGATACTAACCACGCTTGTCTCGATTCAATTTCATTTTTCTAACGCTTCATCGAATTTTCGCTATCAATATCATTGTGAACACGCAAGTAGAAGAACATGTGAGAGAATGCAAAGCTTGAACATTCACAGAAGTAGCGATTAATATTTCTTGCTTCTAAAAAAATAAAATTCTAATTGGAAGTTATAGACATTGACAATTTCATATAATTTGTTGGAACATTTAAAATAAATGCAATATTGTATTTTTTGAATTTTTTTCAACTTTCAATCTAATGTTCAATAATTGGAGGATTAATAACTAAAAATGTGGATATATATTTAAGAGTAAAATTCAGTTGTTTTTAATTGTGAAATTTATTTTTCATGAATCTTTTGGGTGATGATGTGAGCTGAACTAAACTTAAGTTTTAAACAAAAAATAAGTAAAAGATTCAGTTTTATCAATAAAAATATTTTGAATTCAATTTCACATATATTTAATATTTGAAATACATTATATCCAAACATAAAATTATATTATAAATACATTTTATGTATTTCAATATTTTGTCTTTACTAGCTAGTTGTTTTAGAAAATATAAAGTTAGCCATTTTCATCTTGTCTATTATTTTAGGAACAATATTTCTATTCCAAGCATAAAGTTATATTTCAAGTACAAGCTATCTTTTCAAATACCTCTTAACAAGTCAACCATTCTTAAACTATTTCATTTCAACAATCAAATCAATTCTACTGTCAAAATATACTACGTTTTTGAAACGCCAGCCTTCAATCTCACATAACCTAACTTTTCCCAAGCCCAGCTTCAGAAGCTTTATCTTCTCTCACAAACAAGGATATTGAGGATCAGCGGTGTTACGCTCAAAGGAGACACAATTACAAAACATTTGTAACTGGAACGACGTTTTGAGGAAATGGATATCTTACCGGGAAATCGAACTCTCCTATCCTCGGTATCACCTTAGGCTTTTGAGGTTGGACTATTATTCTCGCGCTCACAGGCAACGCGTTCAACCTCGCCTCTTCCTGTCGTCTCCACTGCTCTTTCATGATCCTGTCGCGCTCCTCCCTCTCTCTCGCCTCCTTCGCCCTGCGTGGAATAAAACGAGATACACGTTACACCATCGGTAGACCGAAAAAGGAAGCTTATTGTGCGCCGCCAAGCGGCTGTTTGTTTCATTAAACCGAGTGTCGCTAGAATATGGCCAGACGACGAAATTGTCGGATAGCTTTTCTCATGGCTGAATATTTATCTTCGTGGCGGTCGCAGATGGATCTTATGGGATGCAATAACTGGCGGCAACTCGTCTCACCCTTTTTTTGACCCGCCACCGTTGTAATTAACACGTTAGCTACTCTCTGTATTCGCGTAATTCAGGGCTTTGAATTTTTTCTCGTATTCGACAGAGATGTACACGTATATTAATGCTATATTTGCCGCAATATAAATTTTATATCGTAAAATTGATACGAAATTTTTGGGAGAGAAAGTTATTTTGTTTTCTAATCTTTAAGTAATCTTAAATGAATTTCATTGAAAATTTGATGTATTTTTTTTTTAATATCTACGTTGAGAATAGATTTCTTTATTTCTTCTGATATTTTATCTTGGAATCTGTTAACTTTTTATGCATCGTTTTAACTATGAAATATTAAAGTTCTCTCTTAAAATCAGCAAAGCTCGATTCTTTTCAATTATAGTAGCCTATAATTATAAATCATTTATCGTGGCTATGGAAAGTGTTACGCACGCGAGATTATGTTTGCAGGTTTGAATAAATAGCGGATGCCATTGCGTGTCATGTTGAACAGTCGATAATGAGCGTATTGGAACAATCGAAATTAAGAATTCTTTTTATTACACCTCTGCAAATTTTGCTTAATAATAATATAATTTAATATTTTTAAACTATTCGATTAATTATAAGAAAGTTGACAAGATAAAAATTTTTATTCTAATAGGTAGATAAATTAAAATTAAATAAAATTTTGGAATATAATTCAAAAAATATATATATCATTCCAAAGGATATATTGGAAAAAAAAAAGGTGATGTAAATTTATCGTAGAGGAGATACAGCAAGAATGATAGCAAAACAACTATTTCAGGGAAATGATCTATAACGATGAGAAACATTCCGAAAGTCAAGCTTTAAGGTTATAGGGTTGCCGTGGTATCATAAATATTAGTAAGAGGGCCGACGTGTGGGCTCTGTCTGGAGTATTTATCGCCTAGGAAAATCTATTGCGTCATGGAATATTCTCTCTAGAAACTTACCAACTTAGAGCATGATAGAGATAATAAATTAGAGCAGCTTTCCTCTTACATTTTATATATATGTGTATATATATATACACGTTTTACATCGTGTAAAAAGTAATTCGGATCTCTAAAATTTCTTTCTCTAAAAAAAGAGCAGTTTATTAAAAAATTATTTGCAACTAATCTTGACCAATGAAACGTAATCATACATGGAGATATATTCTTGAATAAAATATCAAAAAATTCGAGAGAAAAATAAATAAATATATAGCAATTCTAATGGAACAGAAAGGGAATCGAAATAAGCCCTGTGACAAATAACCCATCCGAATTTCTCATAATTTAATATAACCACTCCCTGTTATTTCGTCCGAATTTTCATTACCTTCTCACCTCCTCCTGCCTCCTCCTCTCCACCTCCTCCTGCCTTTGTCTCGCGCGCTCAACAACGGGCCTCCTCGACTTGTTCAAGACTAAATAGGCCGGAATAAGACCCGTATCCTGCCTCCTTCTATGATCGTCGAATCGTCTACGATCCTCGTACCCGCTCGTCCTTCCTCCTGCCGCGCTTCTCCTCGCCTCCTCCTCCCTCTGCACCTTCGCCATCCTCTCCGCCTCCAGCCTGGCCTGCTCCCTCCTCCTCCTCTCCTCCTCGTACCACCTAGACATCCTCCTTCGTACCTCTTCTTCTCGCCTCTCCGCCTCTCTCATCCTCTCCTCCCTCGCCCGCCTCTCCTCCTCCTCCTCCTTCTCCATCCTCCTCGCCGCCTCCTCCCTCCGCCTGGCCTCCTCCCCGTGAGACCTCGGATCGATATTCGTGGGGGCCGATGGACCGTGATTTCTTCTTCCTAGATTTCCTGGATTGTATATCCGTCTCACCTCCTCCATCCTCCTCCTCTGCTCCGCCAAATTTCTCTCGTAAGAATCGTTCGCCCTGGACACCTGCTGGTTCCTTCGAAGCTGGTACTCGAGCAATTTACGCTCCTCCTCTTTTCTTCGACGATCTATCATCGAGGGGTCGTCAGGTCGGCGTTGCTGATAATGATGATGGTAATGATGATGATGATGACGAGGAGGGAACTCGATCGGTCGATTCCGTTCCACGTACTCGTCCAACTTTCTCTGCCGTTCCCTCTCCGCGGTCACGTTTCTCGGATAGGTTAAATTGGACATTCCTCTCCTCCTCACCTCCTCCTCCTCCTCCTCCTTTATTCGCCTCTGCTTCAACAACCACTCTCTTCTCCTTTCCTCCAATCTTCTCCTGTCCATCTCCTCCTCCTCCTCCTTCCTCCCCCTCCTCCTCGCCTCTTCCTCCTCGCGGGAAGCAACTGCTCGCGACCTTCCACGAGACGCCTCCAACGCTTCCCTCCTCCGCTCCTCTTCCTCCTTCAAACGTCGCCTGTGTTCCGCCTCGAGCTGCCACCTGTTCGACTCCTGCAACCGCCTCTGCCTCTCCTCCTCCTCCCTCTGCCTCTCGTCCAACCTTCTCTCGTACTCCCCCCTGATCCTCTCTATTTCCGAGTTGGCCCTCCTCCTCCCCTCCTCCTCCTCCTTCCTCCGCCTCTCCTCCTGATACATCCTCCGCCTCTGGTTCTCGGTCTGCAACTCGTCGCTGCTCACCACCCCCTCGTTCTCCCCGAAACCCCAAAGCGCACGTTTCCCGCGATCTCCCTGCCTCCCCCCCTCCTCTCTGTACCCTCCCTCCACCGTCCACAATATCCTACGACTCGATCCTCCTCGACCGGACGACGTCGAGGAGCCATCCTCGAAGGTATCCACCCCGCCCCCCTCCACCCTTCGATAAGGCCCCGACCCGTTGCCGCGGCTCGAGCCCAAATCACCGCGCACAGGCAACTTCTCGGCCCCTTTCTCCGAGTGAAACTCGGAATGGAGCTTCGCGTCCATGTCGCCCCTGTTCCTCTTCACCCCTTTCGTGGTTGTCTCCAGTCTCTTCAGCTTCAGCAGCTCGTCCATCTCCTCCTCCTCCTCCTCCTCCTCCCCAGCCGCGCCCCCCTCGTAGTCGAGATCCAAGGTTATCGGCGTCACGTCCAGCATCCAGGGATCCCTCGCCTTGTCCTTGCCCCACCCCCCGTCTATCGATCTCCTCTCCTTGTAGTGGGCAGCCTCGAGGCCCTCGCAACCGACCTGCAACTCAGGCACGCCACCTACGCCGAACAGATCGGCGCTCGGGGGGACCTCTGTGCTCGGTTCGTCGAACGAGTTGGACTGTTTGTGGAGGAGCATCGGGAGGCCGGGGGGCGGCCTGTAAGTGTCGAGTGTTTTCACGGGTGTTTTCCAAGCCGCGTGGCTCGTCTTCTTTGGGACTTTGCTCTTCCCCTTGCTCCCGGGGAACATGGTCACCTGGTGGCCGTGGAGGAGTGGCCTCTCCCGAAGGAGGTCCAATTTGTATATCTCGAGAGAGCCGGGGCCTTGGTCCTGGAACGTGTCGTCGGCCACGAACGACTCCTCGAACAATCTGGATAAGTTTTCCGTAGATTTCGCGCCATTTCCTTTCTTAGCTACGAGCTTGTCGTCGGCAGGCAGCTCCGAGTTGGGCAGATCGCGGGATCGATCGGGATTGGAGGCGGTCTTCTCAGGCGAGTCGAGGTGGTCGGGGATCGAGGGATGTTTGCTTCCGTGGTGGATTTGTTCCTCGGTGAAATCTGAAATCGTGGGACGAAATTTGGAAAATAGTTGATCCCTTGGAAAATTTTCGAATGTTTGAAATGAGTTCTTGGAAATGTAATTTTAAGTCGAAATTTTGGAATTTGGAATCGTAAGAATTTTTTTTTTTTTTTTTTTGAAGCAAGAAGAACTTTTTTTAAAAATATTTTATCTTGCATCTTTACAATAAATAGTTCATAAGCAGTCGGTGGAAAATCTAAACATTTCTGGATTTCTTCTCATCACTGTTATCGTGCAACATGTAAGTAATATTTCGATTGCATTGAAGGGAAGACTTTAGAATAATTGTGGACAGCCATCGGTTTGAAATCCATTAGAAATTTACATTCGGTGTTTTTAGAGATTTATGCGCGCTTTAACAAAATATTAATAATGTAATTTTACGTCGAACGAAAGCTCGAACGTGAAATTTAATGTTTTGGGGAAGGGAAGTTTATTTTCGAAAAATAACCATTCGAAGGTCTGCAATATATTAAACTGAACTTAAAAATAGAATATTTGCAAAATAATCGATTGTAATCAAATTCGTGTTATTGTAATAACATCTTTGAAAATACACGAGGTTGAAAATACACGAGGAAATTGTTCCGTATAAATTGTTTTCACAAATTTTCAACACTTAGAAAATTTTCAAGTTTAGTAATTGAAATTATGCATTTGCAAATTGATATCTTTCCACGAATATTCTTAACTTAAGACTGTTAAAAGTATCTTTCTTATCTCATTTAATATCTTTTAAATAACAAATTGGAATAAATCACTATAAACGAAATTTGAACGTGAAATTTAAAAAATAAAAAATTCATCACGAAATAGAAAAATTTGATCCGTCCGAAACAATCACTTTTTCACGGATTACGCGAAAAAGAAAAAGAAAAAGTCTCGAAACCCCTCGAAACCCACATTGTCCAACGTTCAACGATTCCCTCGATATTATTATCTAAAATTAGCCGTAAATTAGGTTCGTCACGGTAAGCGGTATAATCTCGCGGCGAAGAGGTTCGTTCCCTTGATCAACGTTGGCAACCACCGTCTCCAAGTATCCGAACACAGCCGCTTATCTCGATCGTAGCGGAGAACTTGATTACCCGACCCACGTGCCCGTCCCTTTGTTACATTAGAAACGAGCATATTAACCGAAATGATATATATTCACCTTTCATTGGTCGCAGACAGTAAGAACGAAAGACGAAAAGAGAGAGAGAGAGAAAGAATAAAAAACATGGAAAAAGAAAGATAACCAAAATCACATAGAGAGAAAGAACGAAAGAGAAAAAGAAGAAGAAAAAGAAGAAGATGGAATGAAAAATTCAGACAAGAAAGAGAGAGGGCGAAAAATATAGAAAAAAGAAGATGCAGAGAGAGAGAAAAAATAAAGGGAAAACGAAAAACAGAGAGAGACAGAATGAAAAATTCAGACAGAAAGAAGGACGAAAAATATAAAGAAAGGGAGAACGAAAGACACAAACAGAAAGAGAGAGAGAGAGAGAGAGAATAAAAAACATAGAAGAAAAACGAAAAAGAGACAATGAAAAATTCAAAGGAAGGAGAGAGAGGACGAAAAATATAGAAAAAAGAAAATGCAAAGAGAGAGAGAAATAGAGAACAGAGATAGAATGAAAAATTCAGACAAGAAAGAGAGAGGGCGAAAAATATAGAAAAAAGAAGATACAGAGAGAGAGAAAGAGAGAGAGAGAGAAACGAAAAACAGAGAGAGACATAATGAAAAATTCAGACAGAAAGGATGGAAAAATATAAGAAGGAAAAATATAAAGAAAGGGAGAACGAAAGACACAAACAGAAAGAGAGAGAGAATAAAAAACATAGAACGAAAACGAAAAAGAGACAATGAAAAATTCAAGGAAGGAGAGAGAGGGCGAAAAATATAGAAAAAAGAAGATACAGAGAGAGAGAAAGAGAGAGAGAGAGAGAGAAACGAAAAACAGAGAGAGACATAATGAAAAATTCAGATAGAAAGAAGGATGGAAAAATATAAGAAGGAAAAATATAAAGAAAGGGAGAATGAAAGACACAAACAGAGAGAGAGAGAGAGAATAAAAAACATAGAAGAAAAACGAGAACAGAAATAAAATGAAAAATTCAGACAAGAAAGAGAGAGAGAGAGAAAGAGAACAAAAGGAAAAACGAAAAAGAGAGACAGAATGAAAAATTCAGACAGGAAGAAGGAGAGAAAACAAAAAATATAGAAAAAAGATGCAGAGAGAGAGAGAGAGAGAAACAGGAAAAATGAAAAACAGAGAGAGACAGAATGAAAAATTCAGATAGGAAGAAGGAGAGAAGACGAAAAATATAAAGAAAGGAAGAACGAAAGACACAAACAGAGAGAGAAAGAATAAAAAACACGAAAGGAAAAGGAAAAAGAGACAGTGAAAAACTCAAACAAAAAAAGGACGAAAAATATAGAGAAAGGGAGGACAGAAGACACAAAGAGAGAGAAGAAGAGAGAATGAAAAACAGGAAGGATAAGAAGAAGGAGAGAGGCCAAAGATATAGAAAAAGGAAGACGACGAATGACGGCAAAGAGAGAGAACGAAAATAAAGACACAGAGAGAAAAAGAATAATACAAGGGAAAAAGAGAGAAAGAGAGAGAAAGAAAAAGCGAAAGACAAAATTAAACGGGGTTACGTAACGAATAGCAGGCGTACCATGGCCGGTGTTGGTGATCGACCTTGGCGGATTGATCGAAGGGTCGAACGGGTGATTCTTCTCGACAGGATCCTGATCCTTCCAGTCCGCTTGCCCCCCGGCTCTTCGATAAACTCCATACTGGTGCGGGTCGAAGGGGGAGGAGTATTGATCGAAGATAAGGCGACCGGCGGGATGGTGGCCGACTGTCCCCGCCACGAGCACAGCCAGCCAGAACGTGGTGGCCAGGACCATCCTCATCCCTGGCTGCATACTTCTGAAATCAAACGGATACGGCCCTCGGTTATTCTTTTTCTGCCCCCAATGAAACTGGAATGACCCGATCTTTGTATCCTTTCTTTCTTCCCTTCCCATTGTGAGACACTTTTTTTTATGTAGGTTAATACGCCCCTGTACCACCTTTACAAGGATCGATTCCAAGAGACAAAGCAGAGATGAAAATTGTCGTGTACAAAAATGCCGGTCGAGGCTTGTTTGTTGTCGAGCAAGTTAAAGTTTACTTTTTGATGAGATGTAGAAATATAGAGATAGTCTCAACCGATATTTTATATTACTAATGGACTGTGACAGTTTTATCTTCATAATTAACATCTCTTTCATAATATCTGCAACAGATATAAAATAACGGAAATAAAAACAAAAAATACGTGTCTTTGTCGAAAACAATTGTACTTATAAACGAGTAATTAATTAGCAAAAATTCTTTTCCTCTAAAGATTGAGATATTTTCTCTAATCTAATCTAACCCGAAAATTTAACCTCTCCGTTTCGATTATCCCGTGACAATTATCCGAGCGTCACTATATTTTCGATGATTCCTCTAAAGTCGTTGCCTGTAACAAGCAGCGTGGAATATTATCGTTCGATCCGGCAAATTGATTTCTATGGGTCTGGCGTAGCGCGGTGAACCGAGCCGTGAAAAGTGGTGGGGAGGAGCGTATTTTTATACGCTTACAGAGTTGGCGAGAGAGGGGGGAAGGAGGGACGGTTTAAACGGTTCCTGGGACCGTGTTACGAGCTACGTGGCTCTCACTTCCGCTCCGTGGATTCCGGAACGGCGTGAACGGAGACGTGTGAGCACTTTGCACGAGGATGGAAATTCTTATTAGGTATTCGTGCCGCGTCAAAGGAGCATCTCGGATATATCTCGAGGATCTTGGGTTTAATGTCTGCGATATTATGCGACCGTGTCACTGAATTTTGATTGGAAGAATATTTTATATCTTTCTTCCCCCCTCTCCCCTCTCTATCTCTTTCGGTTAGTACCAAAAATGGATAGTGAATTTGATGGTGGATCTTTATGGGTTTTTGAATTAGTTTGTGACTTTACATCTATGAAAATGTATTTTTTTCGTTTTTTTTTGGGGGGAATTGGATAAGACGGATTGTAGAATTTTTTTGAAAGGATTGAATTAGGATTTTTAATCTTTCTTATCTCTCTTTTCTCTTTTCATCGAGGATTGGACGAGTATATTAATAAATTTTAATTAATGGATTCTAGAAAAATGTACGTGTATCGTTCTCTGTTCGATGTCCACGATATTATACGCCCGTGTTACTGAATTTTGATCCAATTTATCATATTTCTTTCCCTCTCTATTTCTTTTTTTTGCTCATTTTCATTAAATTGTCCGACGAAAGGATAATAAATTACGTAATTTTAAATATCGTATATCAAATTTAATGTCCTCGATATACAGCTGTGCCTGTGAAAAAAAAAATATTTTTTCAACTACCCTATTTTTTTTTTTTCACTTTTTACGCTGGATTAGAAATTGGACGAAGGGATAACGAATCGGGTGGCGGATTTTCAGGTGGGTATATATTGATTTTTCGTAACAGGAGAGAATTGATCAGAGGCTGGTGGAGGTTGGCTTTATAAAGGCTAGGTTTTATAAAGCTCGCGGGAGGGATCCATTATCACATTTGGGCTGTAACAAATTTCACCAGTTGTTCTTCCTGCCACTCGATTCGTAGAATCGCGATTCAAAGTTAATTGGCTGTATCACCAATGTAGCGATTAGTCATCGAACGAATCGTTCTTTTGCGAAATATTCCATACTACGAATTATGATATGCAAATGCATGGATATCGAATAATCGAATAATGATAATTTGAAACGTATTTTGAAACTTGAATACAGATTTCTGATCGAGCGTAAATTTAATAATCGTTAATTAATTGATTGACGAGATTTTAAATTCACCAAATTCTCACGTGTTTTTCCTTAAATCCGAATCAAATATCAACGAATTGAACAATTTTATTAAAAATTTAGTTCCATATCTATAATTCCCAACCAAGAAATTTGTTTAACAATAAAACTTATCTTCCTCCAAGAGAAATATTCATTGATATAAAACTTGTTTCAAATTTATCTCACTTTTCCCAAACAAAAAAAATCAAGAGAGTCTCCATACAATATTCATTAATATAAAACTTTATCCGAATTTTCAAATTTATCCCACTTTTTCTAAACAAAATTTTCTAAAAAAAAAAAAAATCAAAAAATTTCCAAATTTTTCGAAATCAAGATCGATCCCCACAACCACCACCACCACCACTTAAATCCACATTGTAAAATTCCAAAAAGCCCAAAATCAAACGCTCCCCCCTCCCCTCCTTCGTTTCGTACCAAGGGTAACAAGATCACATTCGTCGATGCACACGAAAAAGCCGGCTATCGATCCCCCGCGACACACACTCGATTGTCCCCTCGACCAGAAGAAGAAGTAGAAGAAGAAACCCTCGGCTCCTTCCACCACGAATTCGAATTCTCTCCTCTGCTCTACGTTCGAGTGGCTTCTCCGTTGGCAGAAAAGAGAGGCGGCAATCGAGGCCCTCTCACGCCGTCGTCGTTCTAGGTGAAGGCGCGGCAAGGGATCAAGTGATCTTGACACACTGTCGACTTGCCAGGTCGAGCCGGCTAAACTTAACAGACCCCGCCTGTTGCCCGCCCCGCCTCTCCCCGCGGCGTAAGCGTACACAAAAGCCGTGCACTTCCGGATGCCGGTGACGTCACACGCGTCGTCGTGGCAATTTCGACCGATTATCAAGATCCGACGCTTGCAGAAACGATTTTTTTTTTTTTTGCCGAATTTACTTTTAACTACTTCGAGTTATGTATAATTAATTGTTAAAATGTTAAAATTGTTAAAACGTAGCTATTACATACTCGATTCGATTATATTTTGAACGATAATTTATCGAAGTATTACTTTATTGGTAATTGATTAAATTTTAATTGGTTTATTATTATAGTAAAATTTGATTTTTTTTTTTAAGGTAAGATAAGGTACTTTAGGTTTAATAAGGTTATTGTTAGAGAGATTGAAAATCATGGTAGTGATATGTCAAAAGAATCGAGGTTATGGGAATCGAATTTATGTAATGGCTAGCTGATAAATTCATTTTAATGAGTAATTATTCAAAGTTTATTTTTGAGTTTTTAGTTACTTTTTCAAATTCTGCTAGATCATCGTGGACAGACTAACAAGAAGGTCTTTGATGAGGTTCTCTGCGACTAGAGAGAAGCAGACAAATCGGTTTAATTGACTCGTATTATGAAGGAGGAATTGTTCAAGTTTTGTAAGTAGTGTAGGTGTCACTTGGAAGGCAAATTGATCAACTCTGTCAAGGCCAATCGTTTAATTTCTGAAAATAGTTAAATAGTTGAAATTTTTACTTAGTTTTTTTGAAAGGCTTTGAAAAAGAAACTTTTAAATTTTAAAAGAATTTTGTAAAGTCTCCTCGAAAGAAATTTTAATCCTCTTTCTAGACTCTTCTAATCCTCTGATCCTCCTTAAAATCAGGACGAATTAGAAAAAAAATAATATAATAACAATGATATAATAATGCAAAGGATTAAATCACGAGTATCATAAACACGTTTCTTAATCGTCCAAGTTTCCCAACGATCAATCGTCGCTCTCAAGTTGCGCGTAACAAGTTTCATAAGGGACGGGCGATGATGTTCTACCAACTTTTCGCCATAAATCTTACGCTCGGTTGACCAAAAACCGGTGTTCTGACGAGGGAACCTCGAAAACCTGAGAGATTTAGAGCGGAAAGGGTTTCGCGTACCGGTAAAGGGATCTTGACATTGATTGGGAACGAAATTTCCCTCCCCTTTGTATTTATTATTCATGGTTGTATGTGGCGCAAGAATGAAATGGACGAAATGAAGGAGAAGTTGGACGAGGGAATTGTGCTGATGATAAATGCTTCTCGAAATATAACAAGTCCACTAACAGGATCAAACTGAAAGTAGAGATATAATTTATATAATGAGAAAAAAAAAATAATAAGAAAAATTTCGTATTTAAGGGAATATTTTAACCCTTTGCACTCGTATATATATTCGATAAGGATACCAATCAACTCGGAATTTTTTTTCATAATCAATCAAAAGGAAAATATTTTTGTGCGAACATAACATAAATTAAAATTTCCGGTTTAGTAGAAAAAATTAGCAAATAAACATATTTAATCTGCATCTCACACTCTTTTGAAATATGAAAATCTATATAATATGTTAGGGACATCATATTTATTGAAAACATGATTTTAATTAATTGTAAATAAATTTAATTAAATGAATATTATGTAATATAATTTGACCCCAAATAATGTAAGATGTCGCCTATATGGCGACATACGAGTGCAACGGTAAAATATATAATGTCGCCTATATGGCGACATACGAGTGCAAAGGGTTAATTTATTAAAAAATTATCGAAATAATATTTTTCGTATAATGGTGAAATCACGTTTGATCAAAATGAACGATACAATAGAAATTGAACGTGGTATATCGTTAATCATTTCTTCGATCGCATGACTTCTAACATTAGCAGGGGTGGAATCTTTTTCGTGGGAATTTCACTGGGCGAGCTCCATAATGGGCTATCTTATTAGAAACACACTCCTCCAGCTGTCTGCTCTCGAACGATTAATCACTGTCTCCGGAATTTTTGTACCACGAGAAGAAAGTTTCGACAACGTAATCCCTGTGTTGCTCGCTTCTTGCAGACCAAGGATTATGCTATCGAGACGCACAATCCGAAATTAAGTAGCGAAATCCCTTTCGAAACCTTCGACTTTCGTTAACAATCAAAAAAATAAAGAACCATTAAAAAAGAAAAAAAAAAAAACAAATTAAAATCCAATAATCAATATCGATCGAAATAATTTAAATCTTCAAGTCGATTCGCGTGTTAAATCAAATACGTAACCTAACACAACGTAACCTAAAAAAAGAGAAATATCCATACGTCACAAGGAGTGTACACAAGATTTAATATAAAAAAGAAAGAAGACGTTATGGATGACAAACGAGTTTACCGTAACGATATTTCATATGGATATGCGATAAGTATGTCTCCATTTTTCAATTTTTCTGACACGTGCAAATTTATATTTATACGTTTCTCATGATCCACGCTTTTACCGAGAGCGGTGCAAATAATTTTCGTTCACTATCTTGGATTACAGCTACGCGAGCGACATCTCGGTTTCCTTTTCCTTTTGCTGTCCCGCTCGCAATTATCTCTCCCCTCCCTTCCTCCTCCTTAACGGTAGAGGAGTTAAGAGGCTTTAAATTCGCTCCTCTGCGAGGAATGCAACGCGAAATTGAAATACGCGGCTGATACGACAAGGTTATCAGGAAGAAGAGAACTGTTCAAAACAAGCGCATAATTATGTATAAGGGGAAAAAAGTCCCTCGCAAATGAACGCTTTGGAGACTTGAGATTACGTCGATTTAGAATTATTTTAAGAATTCAATCCTAGGTTCAACACTTTTAAAATTTTAACTCAATAATTTCTTAGTTGCATTTTTCAGAGCATCGAAAATCTTACCTACAACAAAATTACGTTGCCAACAATTCTATTCAACGCACAACGTACATTAATTACAAACGAACTGCTAAAATTATAATCATCGATGTGGAGGTAAACAAGTCAAAAAGCTCTTTCAAAACGAAGTTAATTAACTAACACTGGTCACTGGATTCAAGATTCAAACGTTAAAGAAATCTTTGTCGCTTGTTAATTAGTTTTCTCGACGTTGTATACATACTGATCGAAAAATCTTTGGAGAAATGGCATGGTGGGTGGGAATGTAAATCGTACAAATTCAGATCAAAATCAGAGGGAATTAAAGTTACTTTCGAACGGGGATATCCAAAATGCAGAGTCCCTCCTAACCTCCATTATCCGTCTAACTCCTCGAAATCGTTTTCTCGTCTCCTTTTTTTCTCTCTCGCTCTCTCTCTCTCTCTCTGTGCCTTTCCTATTCCACTTTTGCATGCCTCGTGGTAACGAGCTGGAATGTTACGGTCGAGGATAGACCATACTCTCTCTAGAAAAAAGAAAATTGGTTCGATCGCATTTGTTACAGTGTACATACTATACGTCGTATATAGGCCAGTTAAGTGCTAAAATAAAATTTTATGAAAAAAAAAATATATATCGTGTGGTACAATAATATAATATCAATATCGTTTTTTTTTTTTTAATTAAAAAAACTTTTCGTTCTTTATAAAGAATTGTATATATTGTAAATTTTAAAGATTTTTAGAATTATAAATATTAAGAATAGAATAAATACAAAGTATTTATATTTTATAGTTTATATTTAAGGTTAAGCCTAGTTATTTGAAGCATTGTTCGCGTATCAAATGTTTGTGAATTGTGATTGATTTCGATATCGATTTAACGAACACGGTTGAAAAGATAGTCGATGATTGAATCCGTAATATAAACAAATTGCTTTGTATTTATTTGAGATTATAATCGACTTATATACAATACGATAAAACCGAATATACGAATATACGAGAATACTTCTTTTTCGCATTTTAACGCAATTTGATCGCGATTTGAAAAATGTATTTATTAATATTCAATTGACATTCTCTGGAAAATAAGGAATCGAAACTCGACCACTCGTACTTTCGCGTAACGTACGATCGAATTGGACATCGTGAGACGTGCGTATAAAGCTCGTAGTCAACGAGCAACGGAATAATGGCACCCGCGGGATAATAAAAACGGCACAGGAGACTATATCGTTCTGTCATGCACCCCTTATCGATCGAGCCAGTTTCCGCCTGACTTTTCGGAGATAACGGTATTGAAATATTGGAACGTCGTTTCGCACGAATTCTGGCTGCCACGATTTGGCACAAGGTGGTACCGATGGGAAACGATTTTTTTTTTTTTTTTTTTTTTTTTTTTTTTTTTTTTTTATTTATCTTATCGCAACCATTCGACGTTCTTGTTACCGCTTATGACAAATAGGATCCGGATTATATCGAGAATCGTTCGAACGCAGGAAATTTTTTTTTTTTTTTTGGAAGCTTGATTTGCATCGATTGTTTCGAAATGATATGAAGGAGGAAGAATGTAAACGCGTTAAATATTATGGAAGAGAATATATAGTATCGTTCAATTTAACGTTAATTTTCTTTTCGATGTAGGTAAGGGATAATTTCCAATATTTCTGAACAATTTTAGGAAAAAGTAACATAGAGTGAATTTAGGAAGGTAAAATGGTAAGTCAACATGTACTATTGCACGAAGGTCGACCTTGTGACAGTTCTTGATTAGATATCGACCGCGCATTTTTTTTATTTTTTTTATTTTATCCTATTATTCTATTCCGGTTAAGGTAAAAAGAAGGTACTATTTCACCATTTTTGCAAAATCTAATGTGTAACCAAATATTTTTTGTTTTAACAATAAATTTTAATTTCTCATTTTTTTTAGAAAATCAAGATTTTTAAAAATTTTGAAACTTGTGTTAAGTTTGAAACTTTTGGATCTAATTTTTCTTATCCTATTTTCTTATCTTATCTATTAAAATAAATTATTGATTCTTTTACATTATTTATAATTTTAAATATATGAAAAATTCAATTGTGATAAGAGAGAATACAAAATAATTCGCGTGTAACTGCTTCTATTTACCAAGTTCAAGAATTTCTGGTCACATCTGGATAGTCTGGATAATTGGCGTTCCATTGTAATTGTGGAACGTGGAGATATATTGTATTAATTGACGTAATGTTTCTCTTTGAAATCTTACACTACTGTGAATCATCAAATTATTAACAATTTTGTTTCATAACGATTCACTATTTTTTTTTAACATTTAACTTTTTAAAATTTTAGAATTCGTGCTTTTTTTTAAAAATCTATTTGATTTCTTATTCAAAGAGTTAAATTTCATTTGAACATAATTTTTGAACATAATTATTAGAGAATTTTTTTCTAAATCATATTTAAAAACTTTTCTATGGAGGACAAGAAAATAATAGTATTGGATGTTGATAATTTTATTAAGAATAATGTTACATAAAACTTGATAAATAAAATCGGTAATTGATTATTATTAAATAGTTTCCTTTGATTTCCTCGTATTTCGAAGTCTAAATTCTTCGCACTAACAAAAAGTTGTTTGTTTCCTTAACGTACGCTGAAAGCTATATTAATATCACAGGAAGCTTTTACTTCCTCACTCTGTATTCTTCTTCACTATGGAAAATTTTTGATAATAATGAATCTAATAAAAATTAATCATAAAATCATGAAATAAAATCTTTGAAAATTAATCCTTTAATATTCAAATTTTTCTTTTTCAATTACGAAAATAATTGAGACGGCCTAACCTCTAATTTAAATAACTCAAATTTATTCATAACTTAACTCGTTACCTTGTGTCTGTACTTTATCGAGTTAATTTATTCACCAAAAACAAAGTTTCCTAAATAACCTAAATAATTTAAATTCATTCACAGTTTACTTTAATCTATTTACCAAAAACAAGCTTTTTCGTTAAGAGTTTGCAAAACGTTGTTAAAAAAAAAAAGCACTGATTTCAACCTATGCGAGCAGCCAAGCAGGATGTACTTGCTAACCATTAAAGTTGAAACCAATTGAAGGTTGGCGATGGTCGGGGCGAGAAAAAGTGTCACCTAATTAACGTGAGCGGCAGCACCGTCGCTAATCGGTGAGTAGGTCCAAACCTCTAAATAGGATTACTTATTAATGACCAACGATTTGCTGGCTACCAAGAGAAGTAATGGACTCGTTCCTTTGATAATTGTCAACCTCGTGGCAAGGAAATAGAGAAGTGTACAGTTGTATTGCAGCTCGTCCCTTTTTACGAATTCATCGATGGTACGGACGAAAGTCTAACAAATTGAATCAATGGCAGAAGGTAAGTTGGCGAGAAATTGTAATTATTAATAAATCGTTGCGTGTAATTATCAGGTTAGAAATCGAGATTCACCTGATTTTGATTGAAATTTTGAAACTTATGTGCGAAGAGTTCTCTTTCTTTTTTTTTTCTTTTTTAAAGAAGATTAAAATCTTATCAAATTTTATAAATTATTAACGTTTTTTTAAATTTTTCTGAGAAGTTGAATGATTTATGGCGAATAGAATATTTCAACACTTTCAGAAAATATTTTCATTGATAGTTAAATATTTTAAAAAAGAAAAATTAACTTGTTAACAATCAAAGATTTTATAATTGAAACAGTACCGATTATTTAATTTCTTATGAATGAATAGAAAACAGTTCTATTCAATTCAGTACTCGGTTGTAATACCCTTTGTGCATACAATTTAATTAAAAGCAATATTAACCAAGTTTCTCCATTTTATCTCATATTCGTACACATCACTTAAATATTCAATTTCACGATTTCATTAAACCAAACATCACGTCAAGTTATTACAGTACTTGGTTATCACAAACGCAAAACATTTTAGTGAAGGATATATATATCTCAAAACTTTCTAACTTAATTTACTCTAACCTCTTTCGGAGACGGATAAATTAAACCTGCTATTTTTCTTTGCGAAATATTTTCTCACTAAAACAACACGACGAAGCGTCTAATGAAACACATCTGGACTGGAAATTTATTTCAAATTACTACTTGCAACATATTTCTTTATTTTTACAATTAAAAGAATTTGGGATAAAGCGAATATTTGAGAATATTAAATTGAGAATAATTAATCAATTATTTATAGAAAATAATATTGACAACTTCTTTTCTCGAACAACGATATTTATAAACAACGAAAAACAACAGTAAAACGGCAAATAAATCATTTACATCTATGAAGATAAATTATTTCTGAAATAATTTCAAAAAGTAATTCGTGCACATAATTCACATTACAATATTACAATATTAAATATTACAATAAATAAAATAGCAATATAAATATTTTAGCCACGAAAATTCCTCTTAAAACTTTTACAACGATAGGAAAAATGGGCGTCGATTGGAACTCCTCTCGTACAACTCGTATTCGCCAATCGAGAAGTTTTTTTTTTCCAAAGTGCATCCAATACAACGGATTGTGTTACACACCACGCGATTCGAGGTGGAAATTGAAATGCGCGGGGATAACGTAAGCGTGTTTAGAATGGAGGTCACGCGTGGCAAGGAGGATGCAACCGCAAATTATAGGATGATTATAAATTAATGTATTAGTATCAGTGCATGGCAGGCGTCAGAGGATGCGAGTGTTGGGTGGCCGTTATCACGTTACTCGCAACCGAGCGAGCAAAATAATTAGAACGAGCCTGTGCTGTGTGCGTGCGCGCGCGCGTGTGTACACACCACGTAGAGGAAAGCCTATTTCCGTTTAAACGGATAACCCTCTTGGATTATTAATCGGCCATGTCGTGGAGACGGTGTGCTTAAAGTAAAGGATCATATCGAATCGGAAAGGTGATTCGCGATTCTTCAAAATTGACTTTAATCCGCGAGAATGTTAATTAAATTTGCGCGGGAAATTTGAATGGACCGGTCGATGGATAATGGAGGATTTGAATCGTCGAATTTAATTTTTGGATTTAAAGGAATAGAGAGTAATACGGAATTACGTTTTGGAATAGTTTTTATATCTATTTTGAAATACTTTTATATTTGTTATAGGTTTTTTTTTTTTTATATTATCAACAAGATAATATAAAATAAAATAATATTGAACTCGTTAATTTATTATTCAAATTATGCATATATTCGTTAAATGCTCGCTAATTATTTAGAACTTCTATATATCTATCTCTCTTCTCAATTTTTTCCCCTCTCAAAATCGTTGAAAAGAAAAAAAAATAAAAATAAAGAAAAACGACGTGCATCTGTCGTGTCGAACACGACAAACTGCTCGAAACGAGGCGCCACCCCCCAGAAATAGTAGAAAACGAAACAAGATTTAGGAAAAATTCAATTCCCCAAGTTCACTGTGGCTAACAAGCAACGTCTACGACAAAATGTGGCGGAAATTGCGGGATGATCGTTGAATATTCGACACGGTTTCCTTTCGTCTCCGAGATTGCTATCGAAGGAGGGGAGGGGGAATGGCGGAAACCGTTGGAAAAATCTCGTTACAGCGACGTGGCACGTTTTACGATTCGACTGCTCCCCGGAGTTTCACGGTCAAAAGCGAACAAAACAGTTTTTATCACGGGGCAGGGGGGGACTTCTTCGATGTTTACGAGGCGCTGCGGTGCAAAACTCGAGGAAACAATCGTCGTGGTGTCGCCACGTGTCCTAATCCTTGCTCGGAATGGTGGCGTTGCTATTTATGGGGACGTGTGAACGACGTGGCGACGATTTCGTTGGCAATTGTTGAAAAAAATGGGATGGAAGGGGAGATTTACGCGGGAGATTTCGTGGGATTTGTTCGTGATTCTGTTGAATTGCTATGGGTGGAGAATGATACTTGGTGGAGAGGATTATTTTTTCACGTGTATTTAAATTAATAAAATATTATTATATTGTTAGAAAATGTTATGGGGAAAAAGTGTTGGAGAAAATCATTTGAGCAAGGATTTTTTTTTAGAATCTTTTCCTAATAACAATATTATAATTTCGAATCAATGGATGGAATATTATTTTAACCTTGAATGAATTACAAACTTATCTCAAAAGTTTTTTTACTTTTCTCTTTTATAATTAAGAAATGAAAAAACTGTTCATGATTATGCAAACTTTTTACAAAATAAATTTCTTTCAAATAATTGTACCAAATTAAATATTAATTACATTGCATTCTTCCTAAAGAATAATATTTCTACTACGTTTCAAACAAATTTATTAATATATTCTGATCCATTTGCTAATTATGTCATCTTTCTATTAACGATGCTTTATATTCAAACTAGTCATGCAATCACAATATCAAATATGACTAATTGTTATTGTTAGCAATCAAAACATTACGTATTGGATATAATCTGTCCTTATTAAATATGAGTTAATTAGTGATCAATTGTCACGGTCAAGTAGAAATAAATCCAATTGAATTTGCTAATTGTTTTTAATTAAAAATAATTGATATCCCATTATTCTATCATCTTCCCTAACTAAAATAATAATTTATTTCAATAATTAAACGCTTTTAAATTTTCTTAATAATTAAACATCTTTATAAAAATCGCAAGATTTTTTTTTCTTCTCAAAATAGATGAAACCAGGTGGCACACACACTTTACAAGAAACCAAAAATTTCTTTTTACTTTACTTTACTGGAAAAAGTATTGTTAGTAGGATTAAAAACGAGTAGAAAGATACCTGGTTCTAGATATTTTCCGGATATAATGGTACATAAGGCGTACATAAGGCCTCCCTCTAATGGAAATTCCAAGAACGTCGCATGGAAATTCGTAAATCGGAATTCGCATTCGAACACCACGTACGATCTCTGTGTTAACAGATACGGGAGAATTTCTCGATGAAATGTGCCGTTTCTTCGTTTTAATAGACGAGAAAATCGAGGGCGAGCGAAAATTTTGATAGAATCGAGCAAATTATATTATAATCGTTTTACATAAGCTGTCAATTGATTTCCTAGCCAGATGACGTAAGTTTCGTTCGTTAGTCAATAAATTGTTATTATTTCCTTCCACGACGAATCGTAACAAATCGATACAATCCATTTTAGATTTATGTAACCTGATCTAACTTATTACGAAGACTACACTTATATATTATAACTGTAGTAATATCTAGTAATATCTAGTAATATCTAGTCAGTAGAGTAATCGTTTCCCTTCGAGTAAAAATCTTAAATGACAACGATTGAGCTTGATCTGGCCAAACAAGATTCCAAACAAGAATTTATCGCCCATCCATTTCACACCCTCGTGAAATGCTCGCACCACGTTATCCCCAATTCCCTTATCAATGACCATTTTGGTTTACTCCAATAACGTCAACTCTCTATCACGAATAAATCTCGCGTTCTCTTCAACCATGTTAAGTACGTATAAATCAATCGCAAGCGAACGTTCTAAACGAACTTGATCTTGGCCACGAACTAACCATGAACTTCTTCGAGCACACCAGTTGCTCCATCCAATTCCTTCTAATTGGCCTCGAATTGGTTTAAATATAAATCTGACCGATCGAAAGAATACTAAGAGAACTCGAGAAAGAGAGAGAGAGAGAGAAGATGGGTTTTCGATGAACTCACGAGAACAGATGGCGCTGTCGGCCATTTCATAAAATTACAATGGCGCCTCGTTTGTTCGAGAAGTTGCGAGCTGCATACACCGAACCAGGTGAATTAACGAGCGTTGACAGGTTGAACGGTTGACAACACCGATAACAACAACGATTAATCGTTTCTGGCTCGTATTTAGAATGCGGTAAAATTTGCGGCTCGTTTTAATTAAAACCGGAAGAGAATAAACCGGACACGTAATTACAAATTTGTAGGAAAGAAGGATAATTTTGGCTTATTCATCTCTTGTTTTCTATGATGATTCTAAATGAAATTATCGAGAGACAATTAAATAAATAAGCACACACAAATTTAACCTAACCTAAATTTTATTAGAACAAATAGAAGAGAGGAAATATTCTATTTCTTGATAAACTTTCTCCTTTGAGGAAGGGAGGAAAAAAAAATTCTAATACTATCAAAACAGAAAAATCATCGAACCAAAGATTCATAAGGTGTATTAATTGTGCCGTTAAAATTAATTTAAGCGGCAGCCATGTTGCCTTTTCGCCCAAACAGGCGCGACTTTTTCTTCCTTCCCTCCGCGATGAAACGATCGCATTTGCACGCGACGCGAATGCATTTTTTGCGCAATAAGTTTGCTCATCGATTTTCCATTTGTAACCGTTGCACGAAGGGGATTAAACAACGTGTTAAACCTTTCGAATTTATATCGCCGCGGCATATAATCGCGGAAAGTAATCGCTGATTAACATTTTTTAACACTCGTGTGAAATCGATTGGAAACGAGAGCGAGCGAATTATGCAGAGTAATTAGGCTCGAAGAGAGAAGGCGAGAAAAAAAAAATTTAATCGGTTGACAATCGTTTGATTTCGCTGAGCACGTAATTTCAATGACCTCGTTACATGCAAATTGTACAAAGGAAAAGGAAAAATTTATCGATATCGTAAATCGAGTAGGTATGGATAGATATCTAAAAAATTGAACGATTGGATAAATGTTTTCCAGTGAGATATAATATCAAGTTTCTGTATTTATCATTTTAATGATGTATTTCATTCGTGTAAATTATTGGATCGTTCGGAAAATAGTTTCGTTTTTTCGTACGAGTGTCGCTAGTCGAACGTTTTTCCAGCCAACTTCACTCTAAAGTAGAAATTCTTGGATCGTTCGGAAAATAGTTTCGTTTTCTCGCACGAGTGTCGCTAGTCGAACGTTTAGTCTAGCCAACTTCATTTTAGAATAGAAATTCCTGGATCGTTCGGAAAATAGTTTCGTTTTCTCGCACGAGTGTCGCTAGTCAAACGTTTAGTCCAGTCAACTTCATTTTAGAATAGAAATTCTTGAGTCGTTCGGAAAGTAGTTTCGTTTTCTCGCACGAGTGTCGCTAGTCGAATGTTTAGTCCAGCCAACTTCACTCTAGAGTAGAAATTCTTGGATCGTTCGGAAAGTAGTTTCGTTTTCTCACACGAGTGTCGCTAGTCGATATCCAGCCAACTTCATTCTAAATCGTGTTGTTATTACGTATTTTGAGAGTTGAGCATTTCACGGTTTGTTTGTAAGAAAAATTCGTTCGATTCTGCGCGGTTGTGTTTCTCGTGCGTGATAATGAAAAGATGCAAGGACAAGAAAAAAGTTTGATGAAGCCAGTGTTAAAACTTTTTCAAAATTTCGTTGAAATTGACGAAATAAAGGCGTCGATTGAAGCAAAGCGACGAATAATAACTCGAGAAACCACGAATTTGTCGAATTCGACTGTACATGAAACAATTTGGTTTCATTTCGAAAAAACGAAATTATTTTCCGAACAATTCAATAAATCAATTTCCCTTAAGGATAATTTCGCGATTGAATCGAATTGGATATCAGGTGACAAGATATCTAAATTCTCAAAATTTTACTCGCACATTTTAAGATTTAAGATTGATAAAAGTTATTGCAGAGATAAAATTTCGCGTGGCGGCAATATTTAACACGAATAATAACAGAGATGGGTTATAACACGAGACAGACAACTCGTTTAACCGCGTTCTCTAATTCAATGCATCGCGTTATCGGGCAAAAAGCGTCGAGCCTTATCGTGCATTAAAGTAATTAGCAATTAAAGCAATTAGCCGTTGATAGTAAATGGAATGGCGCGCCTTACTTTACGATGGAAGGGGCTCGTAAACTTTTCCTCGTGGTTGGAACGAAAAATCGAATTGGGGATGATAAAATAATTTTTGAAGCTGCAATTATCCATCTTTTGTTTCGATCGTGTACAATAATTATCGACTGGAGATAGGGAAGAGTTTGAGAGACGAATTAGAATAATTAATAGCTAAAAGATAAAATCGAAATCTTTTTTTTTTTTTTTTTTTATTCTTAATTCTCGTTTTATTTCACAGTTTGAAGAATTCTTAAATTTAATATAATATTTTTCCATCATTTCATCATTTATTAAATTATTTAATAAAAAAAATAGAATTTAATCGCATTAAACGAGATCATCACATTTATGAATCATAAAATAGAATTATATCTCTTTCTCAACCATTTAAAAGTTTCAAATTATTTTTATCTGTAAAAATTTTATCATCCTGCATCGATCTTCGTGCATTCCCTAAAACGAAAATTAGCCGACCAATTTCATCGTAGTTCTAACGAGGTCCGTTAATAACAATGCCGGGGGACGTGTGTATTCTTTCAGTCTTAAACGTCTTAAATAACGACGTGGAAAACTTAAATAAGTTTTACAGGCCAAGGCGGACTTGTGAAATTAGCTCTCTAACCGTAATTAACTTCGAAAAAAAAGAAAAAAAAAGGGGATTGAATGCGAGGCAACAGCGCGAATTCGAAGGAGATAAAAATAAAATGTTTTAATTTTCATTATCTCGCGGTGATAAATTTTGATTAGAATAATTTCCTTTTTCTTCTCTTTGTAACCCCTTCCTCTACTTTTCTTTCTTTCTTCCTTTCTTTCTAATTATTTCAATCGTAAATTAATATAATAAAATAATTTCAAATTATCAATATTCTTGAAATTGAGATAATAAATAAAATTCAATTAAATGAATTATTATAAATTATCGTAAAAATAAATATTCGTTTAATAATAAATGTTAAAAAAATTGGATATATAGAGTAATTAAATATTAAAATTAAAAATGTATAATATTGAAATTTATTTAAAAATAAAAAATTAAAATTATTCGATAAATATAAAATAAAAAAGAATACGATAGACATTTATATTATCCCATTTCTTTATTAGAAATTATTTAGATTAATACAATATACTTTCAAGTCTTGTCCTTAAGATAAAAGTACAATTAGAGTATCTGGTTCCATTTAACAAATCTTGATCTAATTTGAATAATAAACACGTCTTTAACCCTTGGCTTTGCTAGAAAAAAAAATTATCAAAACGAAATATAATAATTGGAAGCGGAACGAAGCCTGGCTGTCGATCGATACAATTCGGTCCTCGCCTCAACTGCATTCGACGAACTCGAGTGCAAATTCGGGTAGAGTCCAAAGTTCATTATCAGTTTTATAGGGGAACTTTTTGCATCCCAGAAACATCCCAGGTGTTAAGGATTCCGAAACACACAGAAAACGCACCAGTTTCTCCCCTTTGATGAAGAAAGTTGAAGCTCGGATAGCTGGCCATCCGAGAAACTTTATTATTCAGTCTCCAGCTACAAGTTTCTCCTGAAACTGCTGCTGCAACTCCTTGGCCAACGATGAATAATGACTATCATTTAGTTAACACGAGGTAAAACAAATTACTATCTTGATAAATTGTTTGTACATTCATCATCGCAATAATACCTCTTGTTGACAAATTTATTAACGTTCAGCCTCCTCCATTTTTTTTTTAAATTTAATTCTTTCTATAAATCTTATTTATTTATTTCTAATAATACTCTACAGCCTGTATAATATTCTTGATATATTCGAATAAACTGTTACATATCGCGTTCACGACTTACAAATATTTTTTTCTATATAATTCTAAAGCAATAAAACTGTGCAATTTATACGATTTACACGACTTTTTTCTTATTTTCTTTAATAAGTTAAATGTTTATAAATGATTCAAATGTCACAAGTGAGCAATTCTATCGCATAAAATATGATATAATATCCTGAAAGAGTATTCATGGAACTGAATACATGGAGTATTGGATGAGTGAAAGATAAAAAAAAAGGATATTACCAAATAATTTTCTCGTGCAAATAATAATAATTAGTTACATCTATTAAAAATACGTTATGGAAACAATATAACAATACATAATTCGTGTGAAACGAGAAAATTGCAATTCAAATTGAATTAAATTTTGATCAGAATTTTTAGGTTAGATTTTCAATGGGAGAAGGAAAAATACGTTTCCTTGGAATTTAACGAAGGGTTATTAGTTAAACGTTTGAATTTTTTTTTTCAATTAAAACTTTTAATTAAATCCACTATAATATACCCCCCCCCC